CAATGGTCGCCGTTCTTTGGTGTCTGGGAGGAGGAATGAGAGTCTTTTGTCAGGAGTGTAACATCAATTAATTGGGAGAAAACACTAGCCCTTTTCTCAGATCTTTGGCTAATGTTTTGGAAAGGTTCTCTTAAAGTTATGAACAAAAATGCTCTTCCAGTAATGTTCATTCAAAGTTAAATAAGGTTATCGAAATGTTAGAACAAAACGTTCATGGGTCGTTCATCTAATGTTTTTTAAATGTTACTACTTAGGCCTACAACTAGTTACAGGTGATGAATTCGGTTCAAAAGTAACGTCCTCATAATGTTTGCTAAATAATAAAATCTAACATTTCCTAAATGTTTTTTTTTTTTTCTAACGTTCACCTAACCAAGAAAATAACATTTTGAATTTTCGGAGAACATTTAGAAATAGGATTTTCCAAACTTACTGGAAACTGGTCAGGTCACATGCATTTTGTGACCTCCTTAAGGGAGAAAAAATATCCTCTGTAAGAAAAGCTGTCGTCCACAATAAGAGAGATGGGCGACAGAAAACCCAGAGCGTTTGAAAATAGCAGCATTTCTTTTTTCCTGATAAACAACAGCTGTCAGTAGCTGTGTAAAAGAACAGGAGACAGACTAAACTGAACAGGACAATGGCTGAGGCAGGTGAAATCACATACAGCAGGGGTCATAGGGCAGTTAAACATACAATAAAAATAAACTGGTCAAAAAATACAGGTAAAAATAAATTGGTCAAACAAAATGTCAAAAATACAGGTAAAAAAGGGGGCCACAATTTTACCCAAGTTATATTCACAGTACCTAGTCAAAACAGACTTGAGTAAACGTAAAATATTTAGAATTGTACCACCGTTATTGTTAACTAAATCTAGATCTATAAAAATGTGTTTTTGTTAATTGAAAAAGCTGAATTAAATATATTTATATTCTTTGTATCAAAAAAACTAACAAAATAAATGTAAGTACTAAAATTACTAAAACTTAAAAATATATAAAAGACAAAAAGAAATGAATAAATGCAAAACAAACAAAAAAAAATACTAAAACACTGCATACTTCGTAATTATCAAAAAATAATAATATTTCTTGAAAAAAGGGTTTTAGAAATGGCCCTAAAAAAAAAATGTTTTCATGATTTGTAATCACAACATTTTTTCTTTTGTTAAATCAACTTAGATAATTTATATAGTTCAGAAAACATCATATTTTTGAGTTTCTGGTGATTAAATTAATCTCCTTCATTGTGTTAACTCAATTAGGGCTGTGAAACGATTAATCGCGATTACTAAAAAACGATTCGTTGGCCGAACAACCATTACTTATAAAAGTAATTGGATCAAACATAAAAAATTAAGTATTCATAACTTTTCAACGTTTACTTAACATATATAGTGTGTGTAACACAAAAATATAAGTTACTAGGTGCACTTAAATGTATAAATAAAATGAAAAATACATAAGGCATGTCAACTTGCGTCAAAATTAAGTAAATCTAGCATATCATTTTAAGTACTATATGAGCCACGTGATATGCAATTTCCCGTGATGCCTATCCAGACAAAAATTAAGCCATTTTATTTCACAGCACATGTGAAGACGTTGAGAAGAGGTAAGCTTATTTTTATACTTAGGCCTACACATGATCATTTATTGCTTTTTTGGTCAAGAAATTTACTTTTAACTGAATTTCAGAATTGCTACAATTTTTGCATCAACAATTAGAAACGTGTTACGAATGTAAACGTTTGTAGTCTACATGTAAATGAATGAAATAAGTGTTTTGCACGCGAGTATTTGAAGAGTATTGTGTTTTTTCAAAATATATGACCATGATGTTGGCTTATGCATTAATGGTGTGTTCACACAGAACGTGAATTTAATTATTTCCGATAGCAGATTACATTCATAGTCAATGCAAAGACGCGAAGACGCATCATTCGCGCCGGGCGTCGCGAATTGGGTGACTCGTTTGCCGCGAATGTCTTCCTCGGTAGAAAAATTTTAACTTGAGCGGGCTGCGGAAGATTAAGCATCTAACTAGACGCGACGTGTTTGACGCGTTCGGTTACCCATTCGGAGGCGCTTTCTCCCCCGATAGCCTATTATAGGCCTACTTTATTAGCGAGTTGTTTTTGGATAAAACAAATGTAGGCTACCTTGCATATTTACAAATTCCCATATTCTCTATCTATACATGGATCGCGGGGAAGGGGGCTTTGGGCGCGGGTTAGCCTACTTTTGGTAACGTTAACATAAATATTACATTCAAAAACACATTGCCTACAGCTCCGTGTGCACAATTTATCATTAAATAATGGCAATCTTGATTCTAGCACAATATTATTCCTAAATGACAGCGACAATTCAGTAAATTAAACCTTCAAAATTATTATCAAAATAAGTAAATACCCTTTAAACAAAAGTTTAGCTTCAAATAAAGATAGATCTTTACTGTTTTCCTGTAGTTACTGTTAAAATATTTTTGAATAGATTCGTTCAAAACCTCTGGACAAAAGTCATTAATTAACTTCTATTTTGTTTAAATTAATAGATATTAATAGACTAATTTTTATATTTATAGGCATTTAATAATGGACTAATTTGTTACATTCAATCGTTTTTTATTGATTTTTGAAAAAAAAAAAAATATAGGCCTATATATATTCTGCCCACCAAGCCTTCATTTCTTTGATCCAAGAAAAAACTGTAATATTGTGACTATTATTATTATTATTTTAACAACTATTTTCTATTTTAATATATTTTAAGATGCAATTTAAAAGTTTTGGGTAAAAAATAAATAATAAAGTGAAATGCTTTATTGTGTATGATTTGCATGTTTAATTTATTTTAAGACATGTAAGCTGAAGATCTAAAATAAGTTAAAATGGTTGGTTCAACTGATTTAATTGTCTTATTTTTATATATAAATGAGCTTAAATGTTAAGTAAACAGAACTAAGATTTGTTTTGATCTCACATGGCCTGCACTGTTGGACTGTTGGATTTACTTAAAAGATATATGCACCATTTTTGCGTCATACTTTTTAAGTAATCCGTAATCATTTAATTAAGTAAATTTTTAACTTGGAATAATTTTACATAAAATAAACTTAAATATTTTAGTTCACGTGACATTCTTTACTTAAAAATATATGTAACGTGATGCATACATTTTTAAGTAAAGAATGTTGCGTGAACTCAAATAATTAAGTACATATAACAAAGATTTTCTTGTTAATTTTAAGTAAAATTATTCCAAGTTGGGATTACTTAAAAAGTATGATGCAAAAATGGTGCATATATATTTTAAGTAAATCCAACACATCATTTTTTAGAGTGCACAAACTTTCATTTTGAATGCGATTAACCGTTTCACAGCCCTAAACACAATTTTTCCATTTCAATGAACTTAATTTTAGGGCAACCAGCTTACTTATTTTTTTTTAAGTTAAACCAACAATATTTTTTTTTACAGTGTAACTTGACCAATTCTACAGACCGGATCGATTTTCAAAGTTACTGAAAAGAACTGTAAATCTGTTTGTTTAATAAAAAGTAAAAAAAAAAAAAAAAAAAAAACTATTAACCTACCTGAAAATTTCAATACCTGAGGAGATAATTTTACAATTGTTTACAATTTGCCACGATGACCTAAAAAACAAAACAAAACATGTAGCCTAAAAAAATAGCCTACTAAAGAGCAAAAAGGATTTTCATGACGAGCATCCTCTGACATGTAGGAACAGGATGACTTCCGAACTGTGTGTATAGCTGCTAAATTTCATCATTCTTTCTACCAACAACAAGCGTGTTGTCAGACATTAGGCCTGATGACAGAGAAACACAGCACACCTGTTTGGGCCAACACAGTTATTACTCTGTTATTCAGTTCCACAGCTGTAATCTCACACACACTCTTTAATAATGGACTAACAAAGCTTGAGCCATACCCCGTACCTGATTCTCCTCATGTAATGACTGCTTTATAGCAACCATAGTGGCAAACCTAGAGTCAGCGAGTGAAAGCAGCCGTGTCCAAACTCAGTCCTGGACGGCCACTGTCCTGCAGAGTTTAGCTCCAACTTGCCTCAACACACCTGTTTGTACGTTTTTAGCATGCCTAAATGACCTTCAAGGAGTGTTTAATTGGGGATGGAGCTAAACTCTGCAGGACCGAGTTTGGACACCCCTGCTCTAAAGGCACAAGCATGTTTATTTCTAGGACGTTTCAGGATTTTCAGTCCAACAGTTTAAATAGCGTTGATCCCTACCGCCATCTAGTGGTGATATCTCCTGACTGCAAACTACAGGCACTGGCTACTTTATTAGCTAGAACCGGGTTGGACCCATTTTTGCCTTCAAAACGTATTTAATTCTTTGTGGCATAAATTCAACAAGGTGCTGGAAACATTCCTCAGAGATTTTGCTCCATCTCGCAGCAGATTTGTCATCTGCACATCCATGATCACTCTAAAAATTGCTGGGTTGTTTTTAACCAAACTTTGGGTCAGATATGGACAAACCCAGCCATTGGTTTACACTTTTTAATTACATCTTCAACCCAGCGTTTGCCCATATTTGACCCAAAGTTGGGTTAAAACAACCCAGCATTTTGAGAGTGATTTGAATCTCCCGTTCCACCACATCCCAAAGCTGCTCTATTGGATTGAGATCTGGAGACTGCAGAGGCCATTTGAGTTTAGAGAATTCTAGAAATCAGTTTGAGATTGTTTGATTGTGACATGGAAGTAGCCATCAGAAGATTGGCACTGTTGTCCTATAGTGATGGATGTGGTCTGCAACAATTCTCAGGTAGGCTGTGGCATTTAACATGACAAATGTAAGTATTTCAAAGTTAGGATGACTGTCTATTGTCTAAAAATGAGGAAAATCATATAAATAAAGAGACATCCAAAACAAATTCTAAAAAACAAGATGCTATACAACTGCAAACCCCCCTCAACACCAGAAATGAATACACCAACAGAAAGACATGTAAATACCGTTTTATTGTAAGAAATGGACTTCAGTTAAAAATGTGGAACTCTTAACAGCCTGCAAGTACAAAAACAGGGAGAGAGACAGTTTGGTCGTGGTGCGGGCCCCACTATGTACCTTTGCTACAGATTGTTCTTAAAGGCCACAGAGCATTGAAAGAAAGGAGGGAAGGGTGAATCACTGCATTTCACAGACATTACCTGCTTCCAAACAACTTCCACATTTTTACTTGCATCCACCACTATTTAGCCATTCGGATTATGAAATTACAATGAGATATTTGTCGAAACGCAAGCTCAGAAATGTGAGTGTCACTTGTATTCCTATCGTCTCCTATTTAAAACGGACATAACGAACGCTGTTATATCCACCCAACTGCAGCAACATTTCTAATCCAATAAACCAAAAGAACCAGCAGAGGCTTTTCTAGCACAAACAGGCAAGTTCTCAAGGGTCAAGGTATTTCATAGCACCAATAAAAACTGTTTGCCGGCTTTGCGTGTGCTACTGATGTAAAATGCAACATTGAGAACTACACACCGAGAAAAATTCATATCGACCGAGAATGACCCGTGCACATGAAAACAATGAAACTACACAAAGAAAGTCAGTTCGCACAGTGATCATAATCATCGTGAATCTCCAAAAACAACAAATGAAGTGAAGAGATCATTGCTTAGAAGAAGCAACTCAAAGATCAAAACCAGAAAGCTGTTTTTGTTTTTTATTTTTAGAAAATGAGTGAGCCTCATTTAGTTAATATTTTTAGTGTTTTTTTTGCATTTGTATCATCAGCCTGACATGGTTATTTCGGGACTGGTCTTGAAAGAGTGCAATCTTTTAAAATAGCTCAAAGGATTTCATGGATTATCTTGTGTGGTCTGAAATAATCAATATTCTGCTGCTGCAATTTCTACAAATAATAATTAAAAGAAAAAAAATAAAACGCTTGAATTACAAACATTTGCCAAAAGAGAGAGCGAATAAAGAATAGAAAAAAGCATTAAATATAAGGCAGTAAAAACAGGTAGAAAACGGGCAGTGTTTGTCTTGTCAACTCAAAATTTGTCCTTGAGTCCACCAATGTAGTGGCTGGGATAATTCTTTAAAACGAACGCAATAAAATATTTTTACTCGTGCAACTGTGGCGCTACAGTACACTAGCGTCTCGTAGACCAAAGCGCACGACTGAGTGTTAATACACACGTCACTACATCCATGAAACAAAGAAAAGACAAACATCAGACTGAGTCCACTCCCTCCAGACAGTCTGTATAAGGCACAGTCACTGAGGATAGACTGGAGCGCTGGTGACTGCTATCTGCCTTACGCTAAAGCAAGCACCAAAAACTATGAGTGGAACCTAGTGAGAAGTGAGAAGGTTTTTGCAATGAACTAACGCACGTTTTGTCGTTTTGTGTCAGTAAGGTACGGGTCCTGAATGAGACATGGTCACAGATATGCATCACAGCAGTGAGGGAGGAGACGCCACCAATAAAACACTACAGACGTTTCAGAGACATTTAAAATAAGATAAATACATTTGCAGGTGTCTGAAGTTGCTAAAAGAGGAAAACAATATTAGATTGTATCTTACAGACAGGAAACGCACTCTTCCTCGGAGCGAAACGGGAGTATTGTGGCAGCCAGAGGTCTGAGGGCATTAAAACTGTTCTTTCAACATGATGTGTGTCTATGCATGCTTTAGCAGATGCGATGGGATTCGATATGGATTTAGTTCGGAATAGTCCAAATGCGTAACGGGGTGTGTGGATGGGAAGGTGGGAGGTGAGTGACTAGAGAGGACGGGAATGGAGAGAGTGAGAGGAGGGTAAAACTGCAACAAGTCACGAGTATTAGAACTCCTCCTGGTCCTCTGACTCAGCGTCTGGTATGACAAATCCCTCCTGAGAGAGAGCAAAAGAAAGGAGGAAAGAGACAGACGAGAGAGAGAGTGAGTCACCTGATAACAGAAGTCTAGCCATTTAAAGATTGTTCCAAGAATGTGTTTCTCAACTCATTTGAGGGGTAAACCTGTTGTATGGTGAACATGTAGCAAACAGTAGAAAGATAGTAAACAGGAGACAAGTAACGACACGCCAATATATTTGTAACGACACGTCAATATGGATCGATGAAATCAATCAAAAGATGTGCGTTTATGCAATGCATACTAAAACGATTCCAAGTAATAATAATAAAAAAAGTCACATTTTTGGTGTTGATGTTCCAATTACACTCGTTCTTTATTGGAATTGATGGTTCTATGAAGAGCATTTAGCATGCATAGAACTTTTCTATTGCACAAAAGATTCTTTATAGAGGAAAGGTTTTATGGGAACATGAAATGGTTATTCTATGGCATCACTGCAAAAACCCATTTTTGGAACTTTTATTTTCAAGACTATAGATTTTGCCATTTTTAGAGATTTCAATTAAATATTCATGTTATATTTTGGCCACATTTGTGAGTAAATAAAACTGATGATGTAAAATAGGCATATAAAACATTTCAAATCATAATCGTATAGTGGCATGATGTCTTGACGTTTCGCTGGCTTAAAGGATTAGTTCACCAAAAAATGAGCCCTGTAACCCATTTTGTTAATCTTCAAAATAGAAATGAAGATATTTGATTGAAATTCTGAGAAATTTCTCATGTATTATGCAGCACGATTGAGCTTCAGCAAGAACCAATGAGGTTCATTCTCGTGTTACGCAGCACGCTTGAGCTTCAGCAAGAACCAGTGAGGTTTGTTCTTGTGAATCAAGCTTCTGTTTGTTCGCCGATCAATGTTTATATGTGAATAAAAGCCTAAATTCAATCCATTCATCGTATAAAGTGATTTTGTCTTCAGAAAATATGGACTAAACTACTTCATATGGATTAGTTTTGCAATGTCTTTCTGAAGTGTCAAATTGGTAGATCTGAAATCACTCAAATTTCATTTAAAATATCTCTGTTTTGAAGATTCACGAAAGTCCTACGGGTTTGGAACGACATATGGTTGAGTAATTGATGACAATTTTTAAAAAAATTTTGTGAGAACTAACTCATTAAAATATTGGGGTCCTACACTATCTCAGTGACCCCCGTGGTAATAAACAATCACTTATGAAATATATTAATCATGGCTGACTACTAAAAACGCATTCCTACAAAAGTCATATCTGCCAGTGCATAGCATGACATAATGCTGCATCATGAGGCAGATGAAAATACGTATAACATCACTTTTCTCTACTAAGGGTCTTATTAGAAACACAAGTCAAAGAATCTTGTTAATATTTTTTTGTGAGATTGCAGTTGTGTTGGACTCACGTCTGTGGCATAAAGAATATCCACAATCCTCTGCAGGGTGGGGTCTCCTTCACCATCCTTCTCTTGACAGATCAGCTCAATGTTCCTCAGTTTACCAAAGTAAAAGTCCCGCTCCTTCTCCATGTCCTGGATCGTAGACTTTAACATATTTAACTGAAAGTAACCAAACAAACATTTTAGTAGTGATGGGTTATATTTCAGATTAACATAATGATGCGAGAATGTACACAGTATAACAAACCTCGTGAATAAGCTCTGCCCTTTCTTCATCGCCACCTGCACCAGGTCTCCGCGCAGAGCTAGGCACCATCTTGGGTGTTACCTTGGCAACGGCTGCTCTCTGTGGTGCTATGGGAAACAAGCAATCACAAAAACTAACTGACTAATAATATTTTGGTTGACTAAGCCTCTCTACATCGACTAACATTTAGTCGACTATTAGGGGGAAGCCCAGCTACAGACGCTAAAGAAGTTTAAAACCTTCATACCGATTACAGAAGCTGCTTTGGCTGTCTTGACAGGAATAGACTAAATTTTATCTAAATTACGACATATGCACTCAACGACAAATTCAGAAAAGTTAGTACGAGTTCATTCCCTTAAGGCTAGATCATTGTAATGCTGTACTGGGTAGTTGCCCTGCAAACTTAATCACTCTAGCTTTTTCCAAAACGCAGCATCCCTATTAAACATCACATGGATTTTAAAATCTTGCTAATTACTTACAAAACACTAAATAGTTTAGCTCCCAAGTACTGGAGCGAGCTCTTAACGCATTACAGTCCTTCGCGTCTATTGCGATCTCAAAAAGTTGATAATACCTAGATTATCAAAATCCACTGCAGGCAGTAAATCATTTTCCCATTTAGCACCCAAACTTTGAATTAGTCTTTCTAGCCTTGTTCGGGAAGCAGACACACCTAGTCAGTTTAAATCTATACTAAAAACACATCTCTTTTACCTGGAATTAACATCACACATTATCAATTTCTAAATGGTTGGGTTGGGGTGGAGAAGTGAGTCATCTCACTGACTCCAAAATGTTGATGGGCAGTGTAGTTCTTACACTGAACATTTGACCTATTTGGGCAGCTGTATACAATACGGACACTTATTTCTAATTCTAAAATACTAAAACCATGAGGTTTAAACAGTTGATGCAAAGAGACCAACCTGCATTCATAATCTTCTTGGGCTTGCTGAGGGCAGGCATGGAGGGGTTGGGTACAGGCATGGTGTCCTGGCCCTGTCGAGCCTCCACTGGATCATAGTCTTTTCCATCATAGTTGGCATCAAAAAACTTCTTAAACCACTGAACGAATTCAAAATTGTCTTGAAATTTGCCCTTCACCAATTTGTCAACGGGGATAATCTGATGAGAAAAACGCATCCGGATATCATTTCATGGATTCATCAGATATAACTACATTTGAGGACATTACGCAATTAATAAACACCAAACAGAACTGTGAAATCAGGATTGTTCCAAACACATGGAAACCCCAAAACACCATAAAGTCACAAGCTTGAGAAAAAAGCCCTCTGTGTGCTTCTGCATATACAGAAATTACACAAACTTTAAGTTTACAACGCCTATCTTCCAAATTACTGAGAGGTAGGCCAATATTGTACACCTATCTAAATTAAACACCAGCCCCTGCCAGACACAAACCAAAATCCTTTAAAGTCCCTGTAAAGTCAAAAGTATGTCACACCACAGAAAAATCTTTTATATTAGCCACCCAGCCAAATTTGAATGATAAAAAAGCCACCAAGTAAATAAAATAAGCTATCAAAATCTTGAAAAAATGAGAAGTATTCTCAGCTCTCAAACACTTGGGGCGTGTCCGCTGGCTGCGCTGAAACCACGCCCTCTCGCAGGAAAGCTGTCGACGGTGAGATCACCGGCCGCTACTGCTTTCGGGACGGGAGGATAAAGGCTGAGGCGGGAAATAGTCAGTTCGGCCCCGTTCACCAGTAACAGCGAATTATCAGTGAATCCCAGTTTTCTGATGAAAGTGAAAATGATCACCACAGAAGCAGGTTTTGGCGGTGATCCTCAGCTCTCCATCAAGGTGGCTCTTCACAAAATTAATCAACCTCTTCTTGATGTGATCGTTTTTCGGAAATTAAATAAGGACAAAGATCTGTTTTGTTCGTGATCGCATCCAGGTAGTACGCATTTCCGCGACAAAGGGATAGCTAGCAAACTGTAGGCTGTAGTAACTAGTGCTGACAGTAACTCGCAATTGAGCGGCAAACTGATGTGAATGTGCTCTATTGTTAGGGGAGGGGCCAGCCTCAGTGGCCTCTGGCACTCCAGTGCGTCATCAAGTATGGGCGTGTCCAGGAGCTCAGTGGCCGCCGTTTTAGCCCCGCCCAAGAAATCTACAATTCAGTTCTTCACATTTTACAGTCTTTGTAATATGTTTTAGCAATAGATTTCTAACATTTATAATGCGGTTAGAATTGCCTTTACAGTGACTTAAAAAAAAAAGAATTGGTAATGTTTGAGGCTTGTCAACAAGATATAATTGTCTCCCATCTACAATAAAAATACCCTATTCAAGTGAATATGATTCCTGTGATGAAATTTAATAACATTTAGTTGTTTGTTACTAAATTTAAAAAAGTCTGTAAAAACTTCTGTTTTCTGAACCTGACCACACAAACACTGGTTGTACAGACAAGCTTGAGGAAAAGAAAATAAGCAACTCACTTTGTCAACTCCCATCCTTTTGAAGGCAGCCTGTAATATCTTAAAATTGTGTATGTATTCATGCTCTAACTTTGCACCAAATTTAACTTTCTTCAGAGGTATGCAGCCTGGGAACAGCATGTCCATGAACTGGCAGTAGGCTGCACCTGTGGGAAAGATTATAACAGTTCCATTACTTCAAAACATTAACATTATATAGTACTACAAAAGAGCATACAGGCCTTACAACAAAAGAGCACACAGGCCTTACAACTCACCTGAACATAAAAGCTCGATCTTAGTGAAGTTCATCTGTAGAGACTCATTGATCCATGCGAGCATATCATGGCGACTCAGGTTGTCGCTAGTCACTGAGGTGGAATATACGTTCACAGCCATTTCCTAAAGATAAATGAGACATCATGATGAGTAACCATGCGAAGACTGTAAATTGTTAGTGTGGAAACTAGGGCATTATAATATAATCATTCATTCATCATCATGATAAAAAAAATTATTCAGTTTAAAATCTCAATTTTTCTATAAAGGATGTTTTCAAATATCATACATTATCCATGCTGTAATATAAAGAAACATAAGCACTTCAATGAATGTACTGTTATGCATTTTGTCACATGGGTGACACAGGGAGTGTACCATGAATATTTAATGTCGGATTTCACCTCAACATTTCCTCTGTGCTCTGTCCATCCATCAACCAAACACACAGAAATAATCTTTTCAGTCAACTAATACATTGATATGTAACAGAATGACCACTTTGAAGATAATAATGTGCCTAAACCTAGTCAGTGTAATATACTGACTGTAATACATCGTGATGGCAATACGCCAGAATGAGTCTCAAGACAGCTGAGCAGATGCTGAGAAAAGAGACAGCAGTAATGTCAGTCACTCTGGCAGTGTCTTAAAAATAGTAAACCAAACCCGTCTAAACTAAGCACGTCTGACTGAAGTGCTCATTTGACGAAAATTGTTCTCTTGCTCGGCAGCTCGCAAGGTTTTGAGACACAGCCCTGAGTCACACACCGCCTCAGCTGCTCATCCACATCCAGGCCTCGCCTTCCCCTCTATAACCCTTACAAACGGGGGGATTTACAGACATTTACTACAACGAGTAGACGCAAATGAATAAACGTATTTGGTCAAACTGCAAATACGACCTCATAGAAAGCAGGACCAACGACATATAAGACAAGCCAAGCAAATGCTTTGTCCCATAAAACATCAGAAACAGCAGCTTCCGTTAGCGACCGGGGCTAAGCGTTCATTTCAGAGCACTCGTTAAAAACAAAACAATTTCCAACGGGCATAAAACGCTTTATCTGCGCCGTCACAACATAAAAACGACATCTCTGTGTGTTTATTTTATGAAATAAAAGAAAATAAATAATATCTAACGGCATTTGAGCTGTCTCAGGCGAGTTTTACCTCTTTTCCGCCGGCGCCTCTTTCTCTCGGATCATGCGTCGGTTTGTTCTTTGGGCGTGTTACGTCATTACGTACACGTACGTAGGGAAATACTGTGGCAAATACTTTACAAATTAAGAGTCTTTCTGTCTCACTGCTTTTATTTTTTAGTAAATTGAAGCAATTATATTACTAAATTTTGATTTGTTTTTAGATGATGGATGGATGGATGGATGGATAGATAGATAAATATATAGATATGAATGTATGAATATATATATATATATATATATACATTCATATATATATATATATATATATATATATATATCAATAGATAATAGGTATATTATATATATATATCTCAATTGATAATAGATATATAGGTGGGTGAATAGATATATAGATAGATGATGGATATAGATGAATGGATATATAGATGAATGGATTTCTTGATACAAAGACATACCAAAGTTTTGTGTCTCATGAAGACTTTATTTTTCTTACAGATATCTCTGCTTAATCTTTTGTATTTACAGTATGTAAACAAGAGAGTCCACAAGACAAGAGAAAAAAAAGAAACATGCCCACAAGTAAAATCTTTTCCAATGCTCCTCTAGATTTGTATGGGTGACAGATCTGAAAGATATAAATCTTTGAATCTTTCCAAGAAACGTAGTGATAATCCATTAGTACTAACAATCATATTCCGTACGTTTTTGACCTGTACAAACACGCTCTTCATTTACCTTTACCTTTGTATAGAGAACGTACTTTTCCAGAGGCACTTCTAAGTGCATCTTTCACATTAAGAGAAAAAAAATAATATTGATCAAACACAATTGTTGAAGTTTACAAAAGTTGATATGTATAAAAAAAAAGCACAACAGTTTTACAGTTGCATATTTTATATCAAAGGGTGTTTCCGTCTTTGTACTAAACAAGTCACAAATTCAAATACGAAATGTACGTAGAAATGAATCAAACTCTATAGGCATTGTCCTAATGTCGAGTTTGATGTAGTGAACAGGAAGTGCGCTGACATCATGTCATGACCACACTGAACAATAAACAGTCTGTTTGAAACGAGTCAAGGTCCTTTGGTGTTCACATCTGACTCTTTGAATGGCACCGTTCTGATGATGAAAAGGCTCCTGCGCTCGGGTTACGAGACAGCAACGGAGGAGCTGCCTTTAGTGTTGTCTGTGGGAGGGGAGGGTCCGTGGTTTGCGGGTGATGTTCTTTCTCCAGTAGATGGCGGTTGGGTTTTAGGGGACTGTCCTACAGGTTTTCCGGCTGCGTCCGAACTGGCTTCTGCTTCAGTTTCAGGCTGAGATGCTGTGGCTATGTGTGATTTTTTTTTTAAAAAAAGAAGAGAGAATTATTTATTGAGACAATTGCTTTTCAATAATAAATGCATTTGTAAAAAGAGTGTGGTTCAGAAGGGAATATAGCTTACCACAAACTGAATACATGTCAAGTCAAGTATAATTATATAGCGCTTTTCACAATACAGATTGCATCGAAGCAGCTTCACAGTATCAATCAAAACATAATAACAACAATGTTTGTTTCTTAGTGGAAAAACATCCACGTTTGGTAGAGCTGATCGAGTGTATTACTGATTGGTTAATTAATTTGAATATCCCCACTGAGCAAGCCAAAGGCAACAGTGGCAAAGAACCGAAAAACTCTAAAAGATACGGTCTATTAGTTAAAAAACTGACCCTTTTCACAGACCGATGACACGTTTACACAATCTTTAACATCGTTATTACAGAAACGTTTAAAAAAAAGTAATGTATATTTGTAACTATAAAATTTTAAGAAAAATGGTTCCAAACAGTAACAGACTTGTAATAGCAGAACCCTTTTTGGTGATAATAGAATTCCATTAAAGGGATAGTTCACTTTGAAATTAATTTTTGATATGTTTTAGCTTACCTCAAGGGCATCCAAGATGTAGGTGTCTTTGTTTCCGCAGTATTTTCAACAACAAGAGGTAAAAACGATATAAATATTGTTCGTTTTCTCACACAAACCGCTCGTTTCGTGTCTTAGGCCATCAAAGTGTACTTATATTTATGAGTCATTTAATCATGTTTAATTTGGACTTCTCTGTGCATGCTCTTTGAGGTGGTGACCATAGACCTCCATTATATGACCGATAGACACGAACGGTTTGACCTGAAATATCAAAATTGAAACTACTGCGGAAACATCTTGGCACCTACATCTTGGATGCCCTTGAGATAAGCTGAAACATATCAAAAAAATAATTTCAAAGTGAACTATCCCTTTAAGAACCGTGCTTTGATAGTGTTATATAGGACCAGAATGGGGTTAGAAATAACCTTTTTAATAATAGTTTATTTTCATTAATATTAGTATAATTAATATATATATTAATATTGTTTTTTTTTTTACCCCTCGATCTGACTGGTCTTGTATTATCATGTAGCCTCTATTCGGGTTTTACATAAAAACACCACCAACAACAAACAGCATGTTGTTTCAATTAGGTACTTTTATTTTTTTATTGATATGGCAAATGGAGCAAGAATGACAGTGCTCTAACAAGTTATTAGCTGAATACATTAATAAATAACAATTGTTATGGAACATGATATAGATATAGGCCAAGAAATCTCTTCACAATCCTCTATGATGTTTTTACGTCCTTCATTATGTGTGTATTCTGTGTGTCAGTTTCTCTCTGCAGATGATGAGGTTATGGTACGACAGCATCTGAAATACACAATTGAGTTTCGAGTTACAGTGTGTCTCTTCCAGTTGTTTATGTAAAAACAATTATGTTTATGAAGGCCAAAATTAGCAAAAATTAACGGTATGTGAGACCTTTACAATGTTAAAAGGAAAAAAGTGACAAAAAGTCATGGGATAGTTTTAACTAATAATTAAAATGTGGATATGGATATGGAGAATATGGATCATAAATTAAATATCTGTTACTTACTTAGTGATGAAGAGAAGACAAGTATCCTTAATCGAACAATGCTGGTCACATTTACATGTTCTGTTAAACTAAAAAGAGAAAAAGACATGATTTGAAATGAAACCGGTTACAAATTTAAAGCTAAAATTTATAGACATTTTAAGAAAGAAGTAATTTACCTGTTGAGAGTGTGCTGACAGTCTGTGTAGCTGATCTCCAGAAAATCAGTAATGAGGTGGCCTTGATAGTTACAAATTTGAAAAACAAAAAGGCGGGAATAAAGAACCCTAAACTCTAAGACAAAGAACCATTTCAGCATTTAAAGGGTTCTTCAGGAAGGATGATGCGGTTCTAAATAGAACTGTTACTGTGTAAAGACCCGTTTAAACCAAGAACTATAAAAAAGATACCTATATTAGCATTCACAGCAGCAGACGATATAGTTCTGTTTATTCTAAGCGCTGCAGTTGTGTTGTCTGCCGCTTTAAATGCTCGAGCTCCTTACAGCAGGATGGATTCTGATTGGCTGTCAATGTTTTTATCATTCATCAGCTGGACAAAATCGTTCTGAAAGAGACTGCAATGATATAGTTTCTCTGTGCCATTATCATTATAGCTGTGGTGTGAACTCTGCTATTATTTTATATTTAGAATGATTTGTAGAGCTTTATCATTATAGTATTATAGTTGTCGTCCTTGGTGCAAACGGGCCTTAGAGAACCTTTAAAGAAACATCTTTTTTTTTCAGAGTATACTTTTGTTTTTTATTACCTTGGCATTAAATTACAGAAAACTGGCTAACGCTGTTAGGTGAGAATTTATAATACAATGGATGAGGGAGTAAAAGCAAAAAAAATCTTCTTTTGGAAAATCATAGAAACACTATCACGGATGTTTTCTTTCGCTACGGGAGCAAATTTGACATAATTTACCCAACTATGACAACTTACGCTTCTGAGAACCCTAGAAATGTGAAAAGGGTCGATTGTAAATGGTGAATAAAAAAATAAAAAAGCTATACATTCTACAATGCGAGTGGCATTCTGTTATCGTCTTGGAATTAAAATAGGTTATTTAGCTTTTTTTTATTTTATTGTCTTAACATTTTTTAAAAAAACATTATTTGATCCGACAACAAAAATTGAATATTCATGTTGAGTGCATTGTGTAACCAGTCCTACTCGACCCACTCCGAGCGGGATTCGAACCGGGGCCTCCGGCGTGGGAGGCGGACGCTATATAATAGAGAAATAGTTTAAAGGAATAATTCACCCAAAATAAAAATTTTGTCATAAATTATTCACTCTCAAGTCGTTCCATCCAAAACCATAAGAGTTTTAGTAAGATATTCGTTTAAGATATTTTTAATGAAACCCAAAACTTAGACAGCTCAAAAAGGTTCACAAAAAGGTCGTAAAAGAAATCCATATGATCCGAGTGGTTTAAAGTCTTCTGAATTTATATGATGAACACATTAAATCTAGGCTTTTATATTACATATGAAGAGTTCAGATGCAAAAGCCTCTAAGTGCCATTTTGAAATTTTCTTCTAGAATGATAATTTTTATCAAGCTTGTATATTTAAGTTCAGTAATTTCACTTAAATTGCAATGAGGATTACCTATTAATTGTCATTTAAGTGAAATTACTGAACTTGAATATATAAGCGTGATAAAAATTATAATTTTAGAAGAAAATTTCCAATGGCACTTAGAGGCTTTTGCATCTGAACTCTTCATATATATATATATATATATATATATATATATATATATACATACACACACACACACACACACACATATATATATATATATACAGTGCCCTCCACAATTATTGGCACCCCTGTTTAAGATGTGGTCGAGGACTTTTAAAAATTCTCCCTTTTTTTTAAACAACATAGAATCCAAATGCAAAAAAAAGAGAAAAATCCAACCTTTTATTTAAGTACATTACTTTGGTGGTAAAAAATTTTTTTAAAATTTAAAAAAATAAAAACTTCAAATCATGTGTCCCACAATTATTGGCACCCCTGATGTTAATACTTTGTACAACCCCCTTTTGCCAACAAGACAGCACTTAATCTCCTCCTATAACATTTCACAAGATTGGAGAACACAGAGAGAGGGATCTTTGACCATTCTTCTTTGCAAAATCTTTCTAGATCATCCAGTATCCTGGGCTCTCTCTTGTGCACTCTCCTCTTTAGCTCACCCCACAGGTTTTCGATTGGATTGAGGTCTGGGGACTGAGATGGCCATGGGAGGACCTTGAGTTTGTGACTGAACCATTTTTGTGTAGATTTTGCCTCACGTTTTGGATCATTATCCTGCTGAAAGACCCAATGACGACCCATCTTCAGCTTTCTGGCAGAGGCCATCAGGTTTTTATTTAAAATGTCCTGGTAGTTCAAAGCGTTCATAATGCCATGCACCCTAACAAGGTTCCCAGGGCCTTTGGAAGAGAAACAGGCCCACAGCATCACAGATCCTCCACCATACTTCACGGTGGGCATGAGGTACTTTTCGGCATACACATCTTTTGTTTTACACCAGATCCACTTAGAGTGTTTGTTGCCAAAAAGCTCAATCTTAGTCTCATCCGACCAAAGCACACGATCCCAGATGAAGTCCCAGTGCCGCTTGGCAAACTCCAGACGTTTACGTTTATCAGTGTTAGTGAGAAAAGGCTTTTTCCTAGCATGCCTTCCAAACATCTTGTTGGCATGTAGAGAGCGTCTGATGGTTGTTTTGGAGATTTTGTGACCCCAAGATGCCACTATTTGATGCAATTCTGTGACAGTGAGCTTAGGACTTTTTTTTACTTCTCTTAGCATCCTCCTCACTGTGCGTTGTGGCAAGATAAACTTGGGACCTCTTCCAGACTTGTTTGTCACTGTTCCAGTTTGTTTTAAACTTCTTAATGATTCCTCTAACTTTAGATATGGGCAATATAAGGTGAGTGGCTATTTTCTTGTAGCCATTGCCTGACTTATAAAGGTCATCACACATCTGCCTTACTTGAATGGTGTGTTCTCTTGTCTTTGCCATGTTGACAAATGGGTAAGAGAATTAGGCCTCTGTGTCATGTCATATTTATACCCCAGGGAAATAGGAAGTCATGAATTACTAATTAAAAGTTTCTAGATACCCTGACCAACATTAGCAACTACAGAAAATATATATTTTTTTAAAAAATAAATTACATTTTTCAGCAGAATTGTTAGGGGTGCCAATAATTGTGGGACACAGGATTTGAAGTTTTTATTTTTCTAAATTTAAAAAAAAAATTTACCACCAAAGTAATGTACTTACATAAAAGGTTGGATTTTTCTCTTTTTTTGCATTTGGATTCTATGTTGTTTAAAAAAAAGGGAGAATTTTTAAAAGTCCTCGACCACATCTTAAACAGGGGTGCCAATAATTGTGGAGGGCACTGTATATATAGAGTACACACACACACACACACACACACATTTTTTATATATATATTTGTGTGTGTGTACTTTTACATTATGTATAAACATTGATTATTAACATACATCTTCAATTTTGGCTGTACTATTACAATATAACTAATATGTTAGTATGCTATTCTAAACAGCCATTCAGAGCAGTGGCTTAGCATTTGGTACATTTGCATTGACAGATTGAGTTTTGGCGCTTATTTGGCTGATGAAAGTTCGAATCTGTCCTGCAACATTTCCCACTTCCATTCCCAACAGTTTTGGTAAAAGTGCTAAAAAGTAAAAAAAAAAATGAATTTTAGGTCTAGAAATGGTTAGTTACCTGACTGTGTGCAGGATTTCATGTGTTCGGGCCAGTGTGCCTGCTGGCATGGGTAGTCACAGTAACTTGTGTTCCAGCAGCAGTAGAAAATGGCCTCTTTCTTGCAGTTGGCGCACCACTGCTTCTTCTTGGTCTCATCCACCGCCTGCTGTCTCTCCACCTCCATCTGTTTCTTGACCTCTGACACCAGCCGCTCTCTCTCCTGCTCTAGACTCTGCCTCATTTCAGCCATGGTCAGCTCTACACACACACAATGGTGATTTAGTATTAGTGGTTAAAGCTCTGGCTTGGTCCTCTAGAACTTGTAGGAGTTTAGTGGGCCTTCAGTAAATGTTCTCTAAATCGCATTAGATCCCGAAACACAGTTTTGTATGTGCAGTGCTATTGAAAGTCATCAAGGAGAGTTACCCAGGTTATGTTTCATCTCTGACAGCTCCTGCTGATGCAACCACTGGAGTTTCTCAATCTCAATCCGCAATCGCCGGATCTGCAACAAAATCCGCAGAGAATGTAACAAGTTTGGTTGTTTTTTAAAGTCACCATGAAATCAAAATAAACCATTCTTATTTTTTGTGGTATATATACATTTTTTTTAATATAATTTATCCGTGCACATCATCTTTTTTTTAATTAATAATTAGTAATTTTTGTGATTCTTTATTTATTAAACATTTTGTGTGTATAAAACTATTTACAACAATGCCCAAGTTCTTCCCATAACCATAAGATCAAAATAAAGTAAATAAAAATGACAGGACAGTAAAATATACTTTGAAAAGACCACCTATAGAAGGATCTCAAAGTCTTTTTAATTGAGTTAAATTTTGTAGTCTTTCTGTTGCCACCAAGCTCTTTAGCTGTGGTACACTCCAGACGAACAATGCCCTCGTAACCTTTTATCAAAATAACTTCCTGCCCTCTTGCAGATCGTCTCTTCTCTGATGATGAGTTTATAGACATAAGGGCGGGGCAACCGGTCACTCACATAAGATCCACCAATGGCAAACCACAACCATCCAATCAACATTTTTTCTTGTTCGAGAAGCAGTTTTGCAAGGTCACAATAGGGAAGAAACGACTATCGCAACTTCCTTTTCATGATGACTTTAATGCTTCTGTGGCTATTTTTGTGGTGAGAAAAATGTATGCCAAACTATATCAAGTTTTAAAATCTGTATTTATTAAAAACTAGAAAGCTATATTTGGTTTGTTATTTGGTGATAGATAATCTGGTCCCATTGATTTAAAAAAAAAAATATATAAAAAATATTATTCTTCCAACACTGGGACTGATTTCATGGTGTGAGAATGTCACACGAGAACTGTATCAAAGTATTGGCATAATATCAATTCAGTCGGTCAATCTGCAACCTGTAAGTGGCTTGGAGAAGTTTATCTTTTCTTAAAATGCACATTGACAAAGAGGATGGATGATGGAATAAAGTCAGCTAGTAGAGATGAAATAAGGCACAAAAAGTACACACCTCTGCAATGGTGTTCCCCGTCGTGCTCTTAGACAGATCATTGTATATCTCTGTCATTGTTCCCTTGATCACGTCCATCACCTGCCATTATGATGGATAACACAGGCAACATCACCGTCAAATTCACCACTGACTTTTAAGTTATTTAGACAATTTGACTAATAGCAGTTCAGTAATAGTAATAATCAGATGGATCAATTATATGTTCAAACTAATAATCCAAAAAACATCAGAACTAATTTTATATAATGCAAGTACATACTGGATTGATATTTATTTTTTTTAAAAAGTAACACTTCCAGAATTACAGCACAGATCCACTTGAATTAGATGTGGCCTGCCATCAAGGCTTTTAACCTGTTAACTGTCACCCCCCCTTTTTTGAATAGACATGAAAATGCACATTTCGAACTTAAATGGTTGTAATTCAAGAATGCTTTGGAATATAGACATATGATTGGTCTTGTTTTAAAGAAGACATTTGGCAGATTTTTGTAGAAGTGAAATAAATTAAGAAAGTGAAACAGAAAAAAGTTATAGAGGTTTGAGTTTATGGAAATGTACAATGCAAAAATATTAATTATTCATATTTTACATAAAATATATATTTTCAAAACCTGGGCTACTCTAAAACGGCAGAAAAATCAAAGCCAAAAATCTGAACAAGTTGTGTTTCAAATTTTAGGTTGATATCTCAAAAAATGAGCTTTCAGTAAGATTTTGTTTGAGCGCAGTACCAAACTTTTTCACTAGGGCACAATCAGACTCCATTACTGCCCATATAAGGGCGAGGGCGCCTGCATTTCCATTCGTGTTTTGAGTGATATGAACCATTATTTTCACAATTTTCATACAATTTCTGAAGTAGAGATCCTATTCAGAAGTAGCATGGGAAGTTTGGCAGATTTTGATATGAATTGAACCTCTAAGAAACACATACAAAGAACACGCATGTAAGTCATAGCTAGCTGTCACGTCACAAATGGTGAATTTATTATTTTTTTCTTGATATTTCAAACTTTTCAGACCTTTTTTTCCCAAAATAATTGAATGGATTCTATCTTTTGAACTTTTGGCATGAAAACAAACTGAGGTATCTACCATTTTTTCATGATTTTTCATGTTTACTGCTATTTTAAAATAAAGGTCTGAACACGCCTTATGAGTATGAAAATATTCTTGTTTTATATTGATAAATTATGACTCCTCTGTAATATATTTTGAAAATCAGTCACCAAATATGGAAACTAGAGATTGTAAGCTTTCAAATGATATATAGT